GAACCGGACCTGTGTGTGGTAGTGTCACAGTATTCCTACATCTTGGGCTATCTTGTTCCATCTTGGACTTTGTTTCCTGATTACTAGCATGGTACTGACCTGTTCTTTTTGGCCACTGAGTGTTGAACAAACCTTTAAACAGAATTCTTATTTCAAGATTTTGATTCTCAGTGTTTAGAGCTGGTGCAGAGCCCCTCATTGCATCTTTGTGAATACAGAATTTTCTCATATGCTTCTATTGTGCTTATATTTATCCTATCTCAAATTCTTCTTGCTACTTCATTGTGCAGTCTATTTTAATGTCCAGTTCTTGAGTTGGCTTATTCTAGATAACCTTGCAGCCTTAATTTTCTGCTTTACTATTTGTCCCATTGCCAGATCAGATATGAGGATGTTGACTAGCATAGGGCGCTTTGGGTCTTCATTAGTGACCCTCCTTTAATATGGAAACTAAGAGTTCCAGCTGCTTGGTTTCTGTTTATAACAGTTCTTTATTTACATGAAGGTCTTCCCTCTCATCCAATGTCAGCTTAGTTTCTTTGTAAGTCTTCGTGAGGACCATTATCTAATGCCGTTTGGAAATCCAAGTAGGTAACAGGATTTCTTTTGTGGTTCGCTGATTCTTGCAAATAATTCCCAATTGTTTTAAGACACTACTTCCATTTATGAAAGCGATGTTGACGTCTTGATATAATCATAACTATTCATGTGTTGCATTGATTCTACTTTTGACTAGTTTGATTATTGAGTGTCAAAACTAATGCTTTTAAATTAAGAAAAAGAAAAATTGCTGCTTAATTCTGATACAAATGCAGTATCAAGTGAGTGGTGCTTTTGATGAATATCAATTATCAGGAATAGCTTTTGCTGTGAAGTATTTTCTACTAAAAAGTTGGCTTGGGACAAGTTCTCCCTGTGTAGTTAGGGATCAGGGAAACCTCTGAGGGATAAAAAAAAAAAAATTACTAGCTTCTCTACTTGTCGTGTGTTGTGATGACTTAACTTTCTCTTTTCTGATCACTTAATTCACTTAAGAGAAGCAGGTTTTTGGGCTCCTGAGCTAATTTATCCTTTCTTAAGCATAGGTTTGCATCTCGTTAAGTTGTTCCTCATAATCCTTTTTGATATCCTTAATCTTCCAATCCTCTTTTCCTGCTTTATACATGACTTCAGTGTTTCTGAAGACATCTTCTGATGGAATCCTGGGACAAGGTAGTAGAAGTTCTTTTTCACTAAAGTCTGATTAGTGATGCATGCTTTTGCTAAACAACCAGTGTGGTATCTTTAATAGTCTCTGAAACACCTTATTCTTTTGGTTGAGATTCTTAAGAACCTTCCTCTGTATGTGGTGAACTGCAGCAGTACTTAAATCCAGAAAAGGCTTTTCTAGCTTCTGTTGCCTTGCAGAGAAACTGACTTTGAATGTGCAGGGTTTGCTGCTAGTCATGCTTTGGTTGCATTTTGAATTACTCTGCTGCTTGAGATTGTCAAGAGTTGCCTCTCCTCTTAAATATTGCAGTGGCTAACCTAGTGTAATGCATACGTGATTTACATGGGCATAATTAGTCTCTCGTCACTGATGTGTTTCTGTTGTTGCAACCTTTCTGACTTGTCTGGGATGTTAATCGCTTGCTATCTTTGGGCATTTGGAAGAGAATAGTATTAAGACAGGAATTTCAGTGTTTAGCGGTTCTATTTATTGGCATAGCGAGCTTGCTGATTCAGTTCCAAGGTTTAACGTATGCTATGCTCCTTCACTGATGCAACAAAATAATTATGTGATGTTTTCTTGATGTTGTGGTGAACTCAAGCAGCCTAAATCAGGAGTAATGTACAGCTGTTCAGAAGCTTACGTAGCAAATCTATTTTGCCATGTATTAACTTGAAGGTATATATCAGTTTCTTTTCTAGATTTTTGTAATAAAGCTTTTTCAAAGTATGTTTGGCCATTAATAAGGCAGTTGGTTGAGTTTTATTGGCTTCACATACTTTGCAAAAATAGATGAATTTTTGATTCTTTTTCAAAATGTAAACAAATTCTGTTACTTAAGTCTGGAAATTTTTGGTGTAAATCAGTCCAATAAGCTTAGTTTCTTGAGTGCATGAACTGTTAAAGCGCTCCTAAGAGGTAAAATTTGATTGGCAAGAAACTCAATCTGACATCAGAACTGGCTCTGACTTGCAAGAATATGGGGCAAAGAGGAAGCTTAGGAAATAAGAGCAATACAGTCTCCTGTGGAAAAGGTACAATATGTTTTATAAACTACTCTCTGTGTTCTGTGGGTGAGAACGAAAGTACTTTTTCCTTCCCTCCTTAGGAGCTAACTGGCAAAGTAAGCTTGAATCTTACTTGATTTTAGTATTTAGAGTACCTGCCTTTAAAACACTTCACAGCTCTGATTCATAAGTTCTGTATAGTTTAGATTTTTTTTTATTCTGCCAGCCTTTGAGTTCACTACCTTCCATACAATTACAGTGACAAAGATAATTGCAGTCTGAATTATGTGGTAGTATGAGACTGATTTGGTGTGGCAGTGTAGTCTGTGAACGTAGCACCATGTTTTCGTAGCTCCTGTCATCTGTAAGCCTGGAACGTTGCATAGGGCATAGAGTACTGTTACCTGAGTGCTCCTGGTAGTGAGGAGGACTGGTTTAAAAAAGTAAAGGCACCTTATGGGTGTTGTGAGTGGGTTGGGAAGAGAAGAATTGGAAGTTCATCTCCTCAGTCATAGTTCTAATTTTGCTACTTTTGTAGATGTCTTAATCCTAGATCATATCGGAAGAAGTCTGTATCTCAGAATATACTATTGCTTTCAATCATATATATTCTCCTTTGTTTCACTAAACTATGTTCCTGAGTTTTAGCCTGTAATACTGATTTCAACTATTGAATGCATTTGATTGTTGTAGTGTAAGATTTCACCTGCATTTCCATGATAATGCCATTGCGCTTTGCAGTAGTTGTAGGTGAAGATTTCTGAAATATGCAGAGTGGCTGCTGAGCCTTTCACTATTTAGTCTTGAGACAGTGGAGTCCCCAGGCACGTTTCAGAGTTCACACTGCACTGAAAGAATGTATCCTATTATTTGTAACCTTTATTTCAACAAAGCTTCTCTTAAAATGCTGCCTGTGCCTTTCCATTTCTTTACCTCCCTCCCCTGATCACTTAGTGTTACGCCCACGTGCTTTAACTGTGGCATCTATTCTTTCCTTTTATAAGGGTTCTTGGCTGATGTGTTAGACTTTTCAGTTAGAAAAATTTTCGTACTAGAATGAGTATGTTTGTAAAAAGAATCAGTTGTGCCATGTAAATGATGCAGTCATGTTTCTGTATGTTCTTTTAGAATAAATTAACATGCTTAGTAATGTAGACTTGATATTGAAACAGGATGCCTACTCGAGGGAACAAAGTCTCTCTAGCATTTCATTCACCTTCTAGTTTGTTGATGCTGTTTGAGAATTTCATTTCACTGCATTGAAGTTAGCCCTTGAAGTAACAAGTCAATGTTATATATAATAATAGTTGTAGATACAGTAAATGATGACTAAAGTAAATGATCTCCTTTCTTAAAAACCTGCCTTTAAGGAAAAACTTTTTAAAAGTCTGAGAATGTCTCCTGAGTATTACTTTAACTTGAATACTAGAAGTGCTTCTGCCTTTCCTAAAACAGTAAAACAGATAATTTTTTGGTAAACAAAAGGTGTCAATTCTGTTGCATAGTTCAGCCTGTAAGCAGCAGATGTTTACTGTGCTTTGCAGTAATAGCATTAGTGAATGGTAGGTTCCTCCAGGCTGTTAAGATTAGCAAGCTGAGTAGTGTAGCAAGTACAAGCAGCCCATCTTCTGCATCCTTTCGTTTCTAATCTTTTCCACCTTACATTAAAAGTACAGTTACATCTCACCAACAAGTTTTGTTCCCAGTGTTTTTACAAATATAATGAAACCTGATTTTTTTTTTAGCGCAGTATTTGGATATCACTACAATGTGGAACTGATGTTTCTTCAATTAGAGGGAAATCTTAGAAATATGTCTACATCAAAAAGACATTTTTGTGAAGTATCACAGCAGTAGTTATTTGCAGTTTTTTGGTTTTGTTTGGCATCGCCTGATGCTTTTCCATTAAAAGCAAACATGACATTCACCTGAAAATTCAAATTGACTTCTTTCAAATTTGGCAGTGGGTGTTCTATAGTGTTGAGAGATGGGAAACAAAAGCACTTAACATATAAAGATTCAGTGTCAGAACTCCTCAGGTAGCACTCGTATTAGTGTACTTTATACTTGAGAATGTATTTTACACTTCACACTTTGAGTAGTTGGGTTGGAAGGTCACTTCCTGCATGAATGAATGGCTAATAAAGGGCTTGAGTGGTCAAAGGAGTCCCCATTTGTCAAAGTGGACACTTTCACATCAAGGAATACTCAAATGTCCCTTTTATCGCCCTCTACAAAAACTCATTAAAGCCAGTGGCCTGTTTCCAAGTCCGTGTAAACTTCCGCATACACAGAAGTAAGAACCCCTGGAAGTATAAGCGTACTTGAAGATTTTAATTGTTCTTGTGCTGCTTCATGTTTGGATCATCGTGTAGTTTTTAAGACTATGCTTTGATTTTTAAAGAACATAATCTTTGGGAATCAGGAATTGAATTTGACTTTCACTGTAGAGCCAGTAAGAAGGTTGGTAAATGTCTACTAGTGTTTGCATGCTGTGTCTTTTGACGTCTTTAGCATTTAGGTAATGTGATGAGGGCTGGTGTGTAGGTATTGTTGAGATTACTGTGAGGTGCTGCCACGAAAATCAAGTATGAATATATCTGTCCCAGATCCCAAACCCTCCTTTTTCCCATATGAAAGACAATTTGTGGCATTCACCTTTCTTGAAAGTACTGCTGGTTTAGGTTAAATGATGATATTAAATAAAGCCTGTGGCCTGGTTTCGTTGATATTTATTGTAATAGTTAATTTGTCATTATACCTGATGCTACTTTCTCCTCTAGACTACATGAAGAAATAATTGACTTCTATGACTTCATGTCCCCTCGTCCTGAAGAAGCAGCTATGAGAAGAGAAGTGGTAAAAAGGATAGAAACAGTCATCAAAGATCTTTGGCCTACAGCTGATGTGAGTGTAATCTATGTGTTGATTTGCTTCTCTAGTGTAGGACTCCATTCACTTAACCTTGCTATGATCTTTCTGTGTTTTAGAAACGAACAGGTAAGACTTCAAACTTAAAGCAATTGACTTAATATCACAGCTCTTGCAGTACTTGGCAGTTTAGTTTAAAAAGTGGAGGAAACTTAAAACCTAGGTTTCAAGTTAATAAAGGCTACTGGTAATTTTGTCATTTTGAGAACTGGGGATGTGAAGAACTGTCCACTTTGAGTGCATTTCTTAAAGTAAATGCTTATTAAATTAATTGTCCTGGCATAACTTCATTTTGAATATAAAAGTGAGACTGGCTACCTATGTATCTGTTTCTTCAAGGAGTCCTGACTCTGTGGGTATTTGTAATTGCAAATATTTTACAAAAGAACAGTTAAAAACCCCAGATTTTTTGTACTTTAAATTTGACATTCAGCAATTCATTTAGCCCTGCTTTAGTGGGAAAATTAGACTTGACTTCCTGAGGTATCTTGCAACCAAAGCTGTTGTATTTTTAAACCCTTTATTGACCAAAGACTAAGTTTCCTCCAAACAAAAAACACCCAAAAGGAATGTTATGTAAAGTGTATCTCTAGCATCAGCTTTTGGATTACCAGTTTTGTCATAGTCACTAAGAAGCAGAAAAACATTTCAGACCACTGTGATTTCATAGCCTTCCATGATGAAGAGTGAGGGCTGTGGCCACAGTACTGAGCTAAAGATACTGTAAAGCTCATCTACTTCATCCTCACCTGTGATTTTCCTTAGTAGTAACATTTTTCTAGCTTGTGGGAACAGATGTAAACACCAAAATGGCCAAGTGTTGCCCAGCCTTTTCATAGGTCACTTCAAAGAAGTGAACTTGTAAATTGTGCTCTTCTGTAGCAGAGGGGGAAGAACATCTTAATTCTCTAGACTGGAAGCATACTAAGAGTGTTTGTTGTGCATGTCTCTTCAGCACGCCGCCTTTCCCACACGCACAAACACCTACCGCAGTTTCACAGTCATCCTTACAGTAAAATCTGGAGTATTTGTGTTCATCTGAATTACGTGTTTAGATGCACTTGCTGAGTTTTAAACCTAAAAATTTGGAAAAATGTTTCTCTTAAACTCTTCCAATTTCAGTACATCTGTCCTGTGAGGAAAGAAGGGAGCAGGAAGGAAGTAAGTTTATAACAGCTTATACTTCTATCAAACTGGAAATAAATAGGGAGAAGAACTTATTTCAAAAGTTTGTGCTCTGCTGCTAGCAGGATTGGTAGTAATTTCATGTTAAAAAGAAACGATTTCCTCTAAAGTTGCATCTGTAAGAGAAAGTGCATTTGTACAGGCTTAACAGTGTGTAGTAAGGTAAGTTTGATACCGTTTTTACCGGGCTATAACCTTAACAAGTCCAGAAAAATATTAATTCTTGTGAAAGTAAAATGAAGTGAGCATTCATAATTACAAGATATTTCACTGCTGTGTTTTTTTTTTCAGGTCCAGATATTTGGCAGCTTTAGTACAGGGCTTTACCTTCCAACTAGGTAAGTAATAACTATTATATAAAACTTTTATATAACACTCGTCTTCTTTTAAAGTAACGCTGAATTTCAAAGGGGAATTTAGATTGCAATGTGTAAACCTATCAAACTTGCAGTAAAATGTTTGCCTAATGTCCCATGTGACAAAGGGAAGAGTTTTTGAATGTACAGATTTGAGATAAGTATTTGATATATCATTGTACTTCTCTAGGCACTTACTGACCCTTTGGTCAATTACCTTTTCCTAGTGTCTGGGGTTAGTCTTTGGCTCTTTGTTTTCAAGGTGCAATGAAATTGAATGTTTGATATTTCCTGGGTAAAGTTTGTGTTTTGTTAAATATGGTGAATTACTGAGACTGTCTCACTTAGCACAGAGTTACTGTACAAAGTCAGAGGAGTCATCACAGCTATGTTTTCCTATTTCTTTTTGGAGAGCAAAATGTCTTTTTTAATTCTGTGTTTCATATCGCTTAATGGTTCAATAGATGGATGTGGAAAACCTGTGTAGCTGTGTCTTAAAGACTGTGTTGTCTTTACGTCAATTAATTTTTCAGTAGGAAAGCACTGGAAATTTCATTTCTATGAATAACAATCACTGATGAAAATTGTTTGGACTATTAATATGCCTGTCGACATGGGTAGATGAGGGATGGGATTGGGCTGTAGAAGTCAGAGGGGAGGGAGCAAGAAAGGTGAAAGAGAAAGGAGCTCAAAGAACTAGTCAGAGAACTGGAAGCAAGAAACTAGAATACTACTTGGGGTCCTAAAGCACACTGGACTATCTCTTAGTTAACATTGCTAAAGGACACTTATTTGGAACCTAGATTAAAAGTTGCAAAATGATCACCCTGGAGGACTTGTAATATGTAGAATGTCAATTTTACAATTTTTTTTCTGATGGAGTATTATGCTTTAGACTTAATGGATCTTATGCTGTGTGCTTTTTGTCTAGTGATATTGATCTAGTTGTTTTTGGGAAATGGGAGCGGCCCCCTTTACAGCTGCTGGAGCAGGCACTGAGGAAACACAATGTGGCTGAGCCATATTCCATTAAAGTACTTGATAAAGCTACGGTAAGTACTAGCCTTTGGAATACTAAACTGAAAAGCTTTGAGACCCCTTAAGATATTTGTGATAGATAGTGTTCTTAATACAAATGATACTGTCTTAAACACAATGTTTTGCATCATCTGTGCAAGATTTTGGTAGAATCTGCATGTGCTTAGCAATAGCACTACATCGACAATGGTATTTCTGTGTATTGTGTTGCTGGAGGGCCATACTTAATACTTACGTTGTCAATAAAGATCTGAAAGTCAGTATTTGCAAAATATCTAGTAAAATAAGTTAAGTATTTGTATAGAGTTTTTCTACTGACCTTTGAGAGGACTTGATTTAGGCAGGGGTCAGTAACTAAAGCTGTCTAGCTTGAAATCCTGATTTTTCAGGTTGTCTTGTTTCTGATGGTATAGCGAAGTGTTCCAAACCTAACATTTGTTTTTCCCTTCCAAAATAGCTACTTAAGAGCTTTATTTAATTTGTGAAACTGATGTGTAATATCTCTTGCATATGTCTTGTAAGACTAACAGATCACATTGAATATACTAAAACCCGACAGCATGAGAATTTTATGTTACTGAGCAATTGGTACAGAATGATGCTATACTGCTGCTCTTTTTTGTTTTGTTTCAGATATAAGAATACAAGAAGTTGAATTTAAAATATATGTTATCAGCTGAAGTTTAGGTTGTGATTGTAAGATGATTTTGTAGGATATTGCCTTCAAGGTGGTGGTGTAAGACTGAACTACGTATTCAGTAGTTCTATAATAATTTACTGCTGCCAGCAGAGGAAGTAGTGCTACTCCTGCTTTGCTTTTATCCGTTCTGGGTTTCGTTTGACTCTGCAGTGAACCAGTTCAGCTTGATAAACCAACAGACAGTGCTTTATTTTTTCTGCTAGGCTAGTCTTGTGTCAGTTTAGCAGTGAATGGTGCAGTGCTGGGTCAAATGAGTGCAGTTCCCACAGGTTATGGGAGTAGAATGTCTCCGGTTAACAGCACAGAGTCACTAAATTAAGTAAACTCAGTTCTCTTACAAAGCACTAATATTGCGAACTATGAAGGAAGATATCTAATAGCTATGGGAGAGTACACGAGTGATCATAAGTTAATGTGATCATACATGCCTCTGTTTTCAGTCATCTCACTAAAAAGCGTTTGCTTGTCGGTCAAGTTAGGATTGTTATCTTTTCTCAAAAACATGTTTCCTTGTCTTGATAGTTGAATTCATTTGGACTGATAGTATCCATGTGTCTTGAGTAAGCAAGTGGAGAATAGCACCAGTGTTACATTTCTGGAGATTCATAAAACCTTGTTTTAATCTTTTTCAGGTACCAATAATAAAACTTACTGACCAGGAGACAGAAGTGAAAGTCGATATCAGTTTTAATGTAGAAACTGGTGTGAAGGCAGCTCGATTTATCAAGGAATACATGAAGGTATCCCAGAGAGGTGGTGAAGTCTCCTCTGGAGACATTCAAAACCTGCCTGGACGTGTTCCTGTGTGACCTACTCTGGGTGGTCCTGCTCTGGCAGGGGGGTTGGACTAGATGATCTTTCAAGATCCTTTCCAACGCCTGCCATTCTGTAATTCTGTGACATTGTGAATGTTACACTGCTTACCAAGGGTGTGCTAGATACATGCTAAGCTTTTTTGGTATGGCTTAACATTATATTAGTATCTGTTCAGCATTGCCTTGTGCTAGGTGTTTGTGTGGATAAACCTGCACAGTGAAAGGACTTCTATGTCATACCTAGATCTGCAGATAGGTACTAAACTTTGCTTCTGAAGCAAGTCTGTTCAAGTTTTGCTTACCTTGTGTTTAAGCAATGCTTGATTACGAATACTGTTTTGCTAAACGATGTCTAAACCAAATCCTTCTGTAGCTATGTGCTTAAAATGAAGTTTACTTTTATGCTCTGCGGTAAAAGTACTGTTTAGAGGGAAAGCTTTGACTATGAGTGACAGTGGCAGTCAAAGATATAAAAAAATCTTCTTGTTTGGGGGGGTGTGTGGGGATAAATTTGATATGTGAACTGTTTGAGCAATAATAGTTGAAGACTAGTCATCTGTTTCTAGAATTAAAAAAAGTTTCAGTTCTTCCTGTGGAAACACTATAGCACACTACTGAATAACATTTTTGCATTAGAAGATGAACTTGTGTTGAGATTGTGTAGTTCTTTGTTTTGGAATGTTGGCATTATCATTGACAAGACTTATTTTGCTTTGCAGAAATATTCTTTGCTGCCTTACTTGATTTTAGTATTAAAACAGTTCCTCCTTCAGAGGGACTTGAATGAAGTTTTTACTGGTGGAATTAGCTCTTACAGCCTAATTTTAATGGCAATTAGTTTCCTGCAGGTAAGTCTGTTCCTTGTTTGTTTCTGTGTTCTTTAAAATATTTTGGTTTCTGTACTTATGCCCTGTTATGGTGCTGTGTCTTTAGACTTCCCTAGCAATGCAAAGCTTTAGGGCTCTAGCTGTTTGATCACTGGCAGTTCCTATGGACTACCTCTCAAACCTTTAAGAACTTCTAATCACTGTGTGAACTGAAACAGCAGCAGGAGCCTTGTGAATGGCATAGAGGCTGTGTATTGCTTTCTGTGCTAGCACCTGTGATGTGGATTATGGGCAGCCTACTCAGTACCTGAATCATCTTACTGGTGTTTTGTAAATCAGCCAGGATGCAGTTTAAGTCTGCTTCCCAGACTACTAATACTGAATGTACAGAGTAGTTGACTTCAGTGTTTATTAAAATTGTGAAATCAACCAATCCAGTTGTTTTTTAATTGTATGTTGGTCAGGTTTTGACATACTTTAAACTGGCAGATACTGTAGGTAACTGATGAAGTAGCTAATGAGTTCTAACTCTGCCAATACATTTTTTGTGACAGTAAGCTTTGTACAAGTAGGATGAGGGACAATGTTAGTGTCTCTCAGCAGCTGTGATAATGGAAAAAGCTACATATTCTGCTGCTGGTATTGATTAATTGAAATATTGCTATAGATTTTGCATATTGTATATAATATGGGGAGACTGAGAAAAGAACTGTATTTCAATTGGGGTAAATGGATTCCACCCTGGCTTCTGAAAACATTAAGACTGGATTTTTTGTGAAAAATCAGGTATTACTGTTACTAAGCCGTGATGTAGTATGCAGTACTTCATATCTTTTGGCCTAGGGAAGAGAATTTACTAATCCTCAAAAAGCTGGAAGAGGAGGGAAGAAGGAATTCTTTGGCTTCCAGATACTGCTGAAGTGCTGCCCCCTCTTGGTTATGTGAATGTACTTTAAGTATGTGAAGAATTAGTGACTCAGTTCAGATTTGTGTGAAGAGATTCTATTCAGCTGTTTAAATGAGGGCTTTTTGTTGCACTGTGTTATGGTCTGAAAAGCATTAATTTTTAATAATTAACAACTGTTCTGTCACAGCTGCATCCAAGAATTGATGCCAGAAGAGCTGATGAAAACCTTGGAATGCTTCTGATAGAATTTTTTGAACTCTATGGAAGGAATTTTAACTACTTGAAAACTGGTATTAGAATAAAAAATGGAGGTGCCTATATTGCCAAAGAAGAAATCATGAAAGTCATGACTAACGGATACAGACCATCCATGCTCTGTATTGAAGATCCTCTCCTGCCTGGTAAGATTGTACACTTCTTGCACTATTTCGGAGCTCTGGCTCAACTTGTGCTCTCACAGCTTATGTTCGTCCTTAAAGTCTGACAAGTGAGTTAAGCTGCCCTGTGAAGAGACTGTTGCGGGTGTTGAGGTACGGTTATGAGATGGGCTAATGGATAAGGACCTGGAGTCTACCAAGATTCATAGCCTGAGTAAACTGGCTTGCACGCGAGCAGCGCAAATACATAATGCATTGGAGATTTGTGACTGTGTTGAGTCTATAATAAGATTCTGTGACAGTGCTGAGGGGTAGCAAAAGAAAGAGGTCCAGGAAATCCTGGAAGGGAGTTTGTTCATAGGAACAGCTCTCCGTTGCTTGTTGAGAGAACGAGAATGGGAGATGTGGCCTTTCCTGTCACAGTCTGTGATGCCATACTTGAGATGAATTATACCATATGGGAAAGAAATGCCCCAAATGAGGTACCTGTCCTGCGGGGTGGTGCCGTAGAGACTGCACAGAAACATGGGTGTATATCTGTGAATGTGTAGCAAGGGAGCAGCTGTATTATGGTGGTGGTGTGA